CCCCAAAACCCCAAAACCCCAAAACCCCAAAACCCCATATTCAAATAATCAGAAAAATTGGATTTTAAATGAATAATAAAATTAATGGAAATAATGTTAGTTAGAGTTAATATTTATATTTCATTTTTTAAGTAAAGCCTTAGATGCAACTGATTTATTAATAGTTTTAGGAGTAGGTGATCTGATGATTGCTTTGTGCATCTTTATGGTAATATTCTTTTACTTGACAATGTCATCATTTCTCTTAAAGTACATGCCATTTTCTATATCTGTGCTTCTTGGTCCGCAATCAGGATTAGATTTCATTATTTCTAAAGTCTTTTAAGTTTTCTCTTCATTAGAAGTAATAAAGTGCTTTTCAGGCCTTGGGGATTCTCGAGTTTTAAATATTAAAGTTGACGGGAATATTGAATTAAAAGTATTTTTCTGTCTGCTCAAATTTCCATTAATCAAAACTTATTTATTTTTTGTTACGAGATATTAACTTTTTGTAGTAGAATCTCTTTTGTATAAATCTATCAATGCAGGAGTGCATAAGCTATTCGATTAATCATTCTATTATTTGCTTGTCTGTTCTTCCTCCTTTAGATTTTATGTGTAATAATTCGCTTTTTTCTCCTCATTAATATTTATAGTTGAGTTAGACAATGTAGCATTTTATAAAAGTTAAGTTTAGGATCTCATTGTATCCATCATTTCATTAAACTTCTACTTCCTGCTATCTTTGAGTTAGTCTAAGAATGACTAGTTTTATCTTTGCTATTTAAGAACTTAAGAGGATTGATATTCATTATTGTAAATATTTCTGCCACCATTAGGGGATTTATCTTTAATTTCTTGCAGAATAGCAGATATATTACCAATTTTATTCTTTTTAGCTAAATCCCCTTTGTTAAAATTAATACTTCGATACCTAGGGATCTTAAATTGAAACTCATCTGTAGTCAAATCAAGATTATGGACAGTTCCAAGGGTGGAATCGTTATTTAAGTATTTGAAATTTCTACTCATAATTGAATTGAACTTTGGCTCTTCTACAAAAATGTCTCTATCATAACGCCTCTTCTCATTAAGAATACTTGGGAACCTTAAGGGATCTCTCTCCTTATAAAAATCTGAATGTTCTTAATCCTCTCCCATCATTTTCTTCTTTATCCTTAGCTGTTTCTTGAGACTGATTTCATTAGATTTGAATCTTATCATATCAAGTAGATCTTGAGTAGAGTTTTTCTTTTAGAGTGCCTCAGTCATTTATAAAATTTATTAGATGCTGATTAATATTATTCACATCCTAATTTATTGCGTTTATTCTCTTATCTCTCCTTACTAGTATTTCGGGGTTTTGGGGTTTTGGGGTTTTGGGG